AGACAAGGAGGGAATCTTCAGTTCCTTTAGCTGAAGCTCCTCTGACCCCCAATGCCTTTCAAAATTATATCTCATCTCTGGACTCTTTATTAGTCTCTGGATTCCTATGTCATCTACGCACAGCCTTTTCCAGATTCCTGAACCCTTCTTGATGCTGGGACAAGAACCCCGGCAACCCACCTACTGATAGATGGGTTGCCATTAGAAGCATTCTTTAAAAGTCAGTTCAAAAAGCACCCAGCGCTGATACTACCCATTAAAGAGTTTCACAAATGCTCACACTTCTGAAGGACTCTGGGATCCTCTGAAGATTCATGTTGCCTTTAATTGGCAGTCACACTATTTTCAGCAGATGGTTGGATCAAGGGGCTAGTCTTTCAGGATCTCTCACCTGAACACTCTTCCTTCAGTTTTGAATGTCACGTTTTTTTAATCGAAGAGGCTTCCTGGAAGCAACATGGCCACATGGACAGACCACAGGGCACAGGGCCAGGACGCCTGGATTCTGGCCTGGGCCTGTGGAGGAGTGGTGAAGTGACCTTGGAAGAATGGCTCACCATCTCTGGCTCCTAACACTCCCACTTGTTAACGGAGCCCACCTATGTGTCTGGTGACTGTGGGAATATATCATGTGATACAGGAAAATGCTTGGGGAAAAATGAAATGTTCACTCAACAACGTCTTCAGTGTCTACCATAGTTCTGGTTCTTTGTCAGGCATGGGAATACAAGCATGAACATGACATTGTCCTTGCCCTGAAGAAATTCATGGTCCCATGGGGAAGACAGACTCAGCCATGACTACATCTTGTGCTGTATACACTCTGAGGGGGTGAGCGATGGATACTATAGGAGCAGAAGGAAGCACCTATCACATTACAGAGAGTAAGTCAAGAAGCCTTCCTGTAGGAAATGATAGTTAGGAGATGACAATTTCAACAAGCCCACAATCCCCACCACTGGCCACCATTTAGTCAATATTCTCTCTCCTAAGGATCCTGCCAGGCTATTTACATTCATTCATGTAAACAATCCAGAAGGTCAAGGTTGTTATACTAATTATACATATGATAAAACAGAAACCCAGAGAAGTTTTTAAAAAAGAAAATTTAAAAAGGTCACATAGCTGGTAAAGAGTACAGCCCAAATTTAAACCTCACTGTGACTCTCAGAGCCCCTGGTCTTCACAGTGTAGCCTCCTTGTTCTGGGCGACTCCACTTGCACGAGGCAAAAACGGAGGGAGGACGTCCCTGGAAGACAAACTTCAGCTAACGGGAAGGAAGACTTTCCTAACAGAGCCGTCTAAGAATGAGATAAGCTGACTGTGGGAGGTGGGGAGCTCTGGGTCATAGAAATGTCATGGAACAGACTGGTGACCTAGCCAAGACATTGCTGCAGACATTCCTACTTAGAGGCAGTGGAGCGGTAGGTAAGCTAACTGTCTCTAAGGATACAGTTGTTAAGGATTAAGTCCTGTTATCAATGACAGTGTTCCTTTCCAAACTTTTAGGTGCTCTGGAGGGGCTGGGAAAGCTCTGTGGGCACAGCATTCAGACCGAGGTCCCACCTGTCTGGTGACGAGCCACTGGGAAGAGGACAATACAGAGGCCCAATGGAGTGGTTAATAAATTGGCCTTCAGAGCCATATGGTTAGGGATGCTTTCCATTAAAAAAGCAAGAACTGACTCCAGCCACTAAAGCAAAAAGGGAATTTGTTAGAAGGAGTTTAGAATAAAGCCAAAGCTGAAGAGCCAGACTTGAGAAACAATGAATAGAGTGGGCCTGGAGGACGAAAACTGGCTGTTGGCAGGAATGCTCTACCTCTGTTCAGTGGTAGCACTGCTGTATGACTCCTCCAGCCTTGCATCACCTCATCCAAGTTTAAGACCAGGTGGGTGCAGCTGATCTGGGTTCCCTGCTGCCACCCTGGTTGCCAGGTCACAACGAGGGAGCATCGGCCCATATGTCTCTGTGGTGGGAGAAGACTCGTCATCTTGGAACCATGGAAAGAGAACCCTCCCCCCCACCACCACCACAAACACACTCCATCTAATCACAAGGTTTCATGCCGGGTATTCCCCAAAGAAAATGGACAAATGCCTCCTATGTTGGGAGGGCACAGAGCACAGAAATGAACTCAGCTCCCAGACTGAGGAAAAGATGGGATGTCATCCTGACCATTGCTGTCCGCTGTCCACTCAAGCCCCCGATGGACTGTAAGGTTATTAGTCATACAGGATGTAGCACAAAACTATACAGCAATATAACATTTTGAGCTGCTATTATGTGCCAGAATCTGTGCTAAATTAAGTTGGTTATATGTGTTATGTCATTTAACCCTCACAACATTGTCCTGAATTGTAAATGGACATGAGCCTGTGAGTATATCTTCTTTCTCCCGTTAGACTATGCACCCTGAGGGAGGGGCTGTCCAACTGCTTGTGCAACAATCCTGACATCACTTTTTCTCAAGCAAGTTGTTTATAGCCTCTCTGTGCTTCAGTTTCCACATCTGCAAAATGGGTATAGTAGTAGAACCTGCCCCATAAGATCAACTTAGAGAAAGTATTTTGTACTAGTAAAGTACTTAACTCTTGGGGCAAAGTAATGTCAGTAGATACTCCATTGTGTTCCCTTGATGGTGATGGTGATGTTGTAACCTGTATGCAGGGCTGTCTCTGTTCTCACTGCAATCAGTGAGAGGCAACACCAGCACTTGGTTGGTTTAAACACAGTGATACAAAGACAAAATAACAAAACTCCCTTTTAGGCTTTTAAGGCCCTTCACCCTCATCTCCCTCCGAAGCTTCCCCATCACCACCCACTCACTGCGTACTCTATGATTCAAACCAAACTGTCCGCCATTCCCCCAACATCCTAGGGGGCTTCACAGTTCCTTTCCTTACACTCTTCCTTCTGTCCCCAACACCTGGAAAAATTCATGGCCCAATTCAAATGGCTTTTTCTCAATGAAGCCTTTCCCCATGGGTCCCCACAAAACATTGGTTATCTACCATAGGGTCCCCAACATGCTGATTTTAAGTAATAGGAGGAAATCATTATTATTTACTCACCATCTCCACCCCAACCATCTCGAAGGAGAGGTGGGTCCCCAGTGGAGTCCTTTATTTTTCTGAGTAGGGTGATAGGTGGGGATGCAAATGCAGTAATCTGAGGGGATAAAATTGTATTGCTTAGGGAAATAGAGGTGCTTAGAAAATAAGATGGGGATGTAAAGTAGTGTGACAGAGGGGCAGATAAGAAAAAGGGGGCAAATTTGGGCAGAGAAAGAGATAATGGCCATTATCTATTTGACTGTGGTTAAAAACCTGCAAAAAGCAGAATTTTATCCCATGGGTAATGGAGAGCCATTGGCGAATCTTGATCAGGAAAGCAAGATGGATGAGGGTGGGAGACTTTCTCAGGACAGGAGGAGGCTGCACTGGAGAGGAGGAGAGTGGTGATTTGACTTGGGAGCAAGCACAGGGTTTCTGGAGGTTGTACCTGAGCTTGTGCTGGCCTAGTTAGTGCCTGCAGTGTACACAGGCCCAGCAGATGGAGGCCTAGGGACAGAGGCCTGGAGGAGGTACCTCTCCCAAGTACGAGCAGGGTTTGGGGAGATCTGGAGTAAGAAAAGGAGGAAGAGAGAGAGAGAGATGGAGAACCAGAAGCCACTATCACATTTGCCCTAGTGAAGGTCTTTAATGCCCAAGGGAGGGTATGGAGAAGGTGGGCAGGTAGCCTACTCTGGCAGATGACATTCAGTCAAATATTTGAAATAAATGAGGATGAGTCAGTCACTCAGCTATCTGGAGGCAGAGAATTCCAGGAAGAAGGACAGTCTGTATAACCCCCCTGAGTCAGGAGGAACATGAGGTGTTAGAGGAGCAGAGAGGAGGCAGTGTCTGGCATAGAGGCAGCAAGAGGGGCTGGTAGGAGCTGAGGTCAGAGAGGTCAGCAGGATGGACCACAAGGAAAAGGGACACAATCTGACTTATGTCATAAGAGTATCACACTGGCTGTTGTGTGGAAAATGGGGTGTGGGGTGTGGGGAGGGCTATAATGTTAAAGGTGAAGTGGGAGGATGCAGGTTTGGAAACAAGGAAACCAGATAATAGATTATAGCGTAACTAGGGGCCCAGTGCATGAATTCATGCACCTTGAAAGGAACTGTGGGCTACGAGGCTGCGGTAGGCACAGGGGTGGGTCCAAGCCCAACCCCTCCTGCCACTCCCCTCCTCCCCGCATCCCTCCCCCATAAGTCCCCTGTCTGCCGGCAGCAACTGCGAGCACTGGGGAGGACTGTGGCGCCCAAGAGCAAAGCATTTTCAGTAACCACCAGAGGCATGCCCTGATGACAGCGACCGGTACCCCCTTGGTCTGGTGCCCCTGCTCACCTGTCCCACCATCCCTCTGTGGCCAACACCTGCCAAGTTCTGCACATGCCCCTGGTGGTCAGCGCACATCATAGTGACCAGCCGTTCCGTTGTTCGGTCTATTTGCATATTAGCCTTTTATTATGTAGGATACTCTGGACCTTGGTCCAAACTCACGGTGATATCAGTGGAGGTGATGCAAAGGTGTTGGGTTCTGAATATATTTTGAAAGTAGAGACAATGGACTAACTGGGTATGAGAAAGGAATAGGGGGATGCCAGTGGCTTTAGCCTGAACATGTTTTCTGCTGCCCTGACTAGGAGATGTGCATGTATCTGTGGCCTCAGGGCATGGGCCCTGAAGTAAGACCTTGACAGAAATATTTTGAACCTCTCTGTGACTCAGTTTCTTCTTATGTAAAGTGTTAATTATCCTTGTAGTGACCCCACAGGGTTGTTGAAAGCACTGAATGAATTAATACATGTGAGATGCTTAAAAATGTCTCTGGCAAAAGAATAAATGCCAGGTGAGCGACAGGACCATTGCTACTCTTAACTGTGTTTTGATAAGTGAGCAGCTTGACTTGTTCTGTTTGTACTGACGCTGCCTTTGGGGATTGCCTAGGTGCTCTCTGATGGGGTTTGACCTGAACCGTCACTGGCTGGATCCCTCTCCATGGGCCCACCCTACCCTGTATGGGGTAAAACAGCTCATCATCCAGATGTACAACGACCCAGTAAGTAACTGAACCCCTCGGCAGCTGCTGGTCTTACTGCTTGACCCAGGAAAGAGCAGTGTTGTACTGTGGAAGTTCACTGGGAATTGCAAATTGGGAATACAGGGTCAAAACCAGGGAGGAACCAGGTCTGCTCGTGTCTCCTCTGCATTGGACAAACCCAAGTGCTCACAAACACTGGCCTCAGGTGTGGGAGTCTCATGGGATGAAGGAAATATACTGGAGCAGGTCCACCTTTCCCAGGGCTCTTTGGTTACAAGCCAAAGAAATACAACTTGAACTAGCTTAATGGATTATTCACTAGAAGAGTACCGGAGTATCTCATATAATTGAAGGCTGTAGGCTGGCCTCCTCCACCTGTAGGGAACATGTGCCAAACGTCACACCCAGTGGCTCCCACCACTGTAGAGGGGCCCACTCTCATGTTCTAGTCTAAGTTCCAAAAAGACTATGAAGGGCCTAGCTTGGAGGACACGTCCACCTCTGGGCAAGTCAAACCTGACCCAAGAGGCAAGGTTCTGTAAGGACCGGACAAACTTGCTGGAAGCACCTGGTTGGACTTGGGGATGTGGTGGCGTGGTGAACCTGTTCCCACCTAAAACAAGGAACCAGATAAGAGATTATAGCATGGTGCTCTGGACCTTGTTCCAGAGGGCTGGCTCTTCCAGAGAGACGGGGGGCAGTGGGCGTCCCTACTGAGTTTGCTCATCGGGACAAGATTTTGTAAGAAATAGAATACACTAAGGTTTCATAACTTAGAGAAAGGAGGCAAACCATGATCATTCTGCCTCTGAGGGGCTGTGGGAGAGAACAGGACAGACATCATTTGGGTAGAAGCCAAAGGCAGAAGTAAGGCCTAAAGAAAAATAGAACTTCCTAATAATTAGAGATGCCTGATGATAAAATGGGTATGTGCACTGTGAACTTTGCCTTACTGAAAGTGTTCAACTTGAAGCTAAGTGACACTGTTAAAAATGGCACATGGAGGAGACTCGGTTGTTTGGAAGATGCTGTAATGAGATTACAGGTGATGACTAATTTTATGAGCCCCTGGCTGCCACCAGGTGACAAATAGTGATTGCTAAGGAAGCAAGAGTCCCAGAGTTGGGGTATTTCAGAGATGCATCAGTGTAACTCTTTGAAGATGTCCATAAAAATATCCTAAATTAAAAAGCAACATTATATTGAGCAGCCCTCACAAATACTGGGCTCAGTTGTGGAGGTCTCATGAGATGAAGGAGCCAAAAATATGTACTTAAAACAAATGCATATATTAGAGCAAGGGTTAATGAAAAAGTAAATCCTTAGGTGCAATGTAATTCACTTGATTGTTATCTTGATCCTCCTATGAACTTGGCTTTCCTAAATCTTTTTTAGCCAGTGCCTGTGTAGCCATTGCTTTCCTATACGTGCTTCCTTCGGCTCCTTCTTCCCTGTCTACAAAAGGTGTTAACTGCTCACAAGCACTGTTCTTCCCCTGGACCCTCGATGCCATCCTGACCAGCTTTCTTGGCAGACAGAAGCTGCTTCTAAGTTTCCTAGGAAGTGCTTATGGTTCCCTGGGTTCCCCCCTTCCCACCTCCACCGGACCTCTGGGTTAACTGCAGTTTCCCTGATAGAATCACAGTGCTTTCTTCCCCTGCCACCTCTTCTTAAAGAGCACAGCTCCGACACATTTTCTGACCTGGTTGACAATAGGAACAAAGGGGTGTTTTAGTAGAATCCTGGAGGGGAGAACCAGGGAGCCAAGGCCTGGGGGAAGAATCAAAGGAAGGGGGTTAGGTTTCAGCCTGCCTTTGCCATCACAAATCAGAAGTCATTGATCTTCTCACAATCCACCAGGCAGTCACTCATGTCACAGAACACAGATGAGACAAGACTGAGCTGCAGAGCTGTCAGGGCACTCCTGGTGCCACAAATAGGTTGATTGTCAGCTGGTTGGTCTTAATAAACGCACTTGGATGCTGAGCTCATTGTGTAGGCTGTACTCTTCCGGAAAGTTGGCTCCTTTATGCCCCAAGCGAGGACCTGGCCTGGAACAGGACCCCATCTCCCTTGGTCTCTTCCTGTCTCCCCCTATCCTTGTCCTGTCTTTTAGCCCATTCTTTCCACAAATACTTACCAAGTAATTTCTATATACCAGTCATTGTGATTCTAATAGTGAGTGAACCCTTGGAATCTAGTGGGGAAATAGATATTAAACAAGTAAATACCCATAACTAGAGATTTACAAATTGTGTCTTATTACCCAAAAAAGCACCAAATATGACCTACAAGTGGGATGGTTATACATTTCAGCTTGCCTGGGGACAGTTGTGGGTTATGCCTATTGTCCTAGAGTATTTGTTAATACCGTCCCCTTTCCTCTTATAAGTCTCCCAGTTTGGATGATAAATTACAGTCTCTCTACTTAAAAGCTATGTGAAAGCACCTAGTACAGTACCTGATATGTAGCAGATCCTCCACAAACATTATTTGTATCTGATTCAAATTAACATTTGACTAAAGAGTCATTGTGTCCAGTTGCAAACACTGCAGTGCCCCAAGGGTCTGCCCTATTACTTTTAAATGCATTTCTCTCCTGACCTTGACTGTCACATAGTCATCATAATCACTCTGCCCAGAGCTATCTGAGCTGCCAGGACAGCTTCTGGCCTTTACACTCACAGCCTCACTTTTTCCATGTAAGAGAGAAACATCTATCAGTTGCCTCCTGCACGCCCCTACTGGGGATTGAACCCAAAACCTGTGCATGTGCCCTGACCTGGAATCGAACCAGTGACATTTGGTGCACCAGATGATGCTCCAACCAACTGAGCCACACTGTCCAGGGTGAAGGAAAATTTCTCAAGGAATTTGGACTGCACCTTTACAAATGGTAATACTCCATCAGATGGCTATGGTTTGGAGATGAGGGAACTTACAGGGAAAGGGAGAGGGCATTCTAGGGAAAGCTAAGCAATGGCATGGAGGTGAGAGATCTGGCTGCTGAGGTCAGTATGCAGGGCTTATGACAGGGAGCCTCAGGAGGGCAGCCCAGGATGGGGTGGAGGGACAGGGAGACAGACATGCAGAAGCTCATGGATGACTTTGAACATTGAGCCAAGGAATGTGGCTTCCTCCATGGCCCAGTGGTCCTTTCTCATTAAAATCAAAGTCCCAGGCCAGCCGTGGGCAAACTTCGGCCCGCGGGCCGGATCCGGCCCGTTTGAAATGAATAAAACTTAAAAAAAAAAGACCGTACCCTTTTATGTAATGGTGTTTACTTTGAATTTATATTAGTTCACACAAACGCTCCATCCATGCTTTTGTTCTGGCCCTCCAGTCCAGTTTAAGAACCCATTGTGGCCCTCGAGTCAAAAAGTTTGCCCACCCCTGTCACAGGCCCTCTTTTAAATTGAGTTTTAATTGAATTAAATATCATGACTGTAAAAAAAAATCAAGGCAATAAAACAATACGCCACTTGTCAGAAAAATTTCAGCACACACCCTTTCTCAATCTTGGAATCAATATAAGTCCATGGAGAGCCGTCTAACACGATGGAGCAAGGAAGAGATCAATGAATAGTATTGCCGTCCATTCACTATCCCAAACTAGATACTCTAGAGTCATTCTAAAATTTAAATCCAACTGAGTCTCCCTCTCATGCTTAACACCTTTCACTGTCTCCTCATTACTTGTGGGGTAGAGGCCAAGCTTCCTGACATGCCAGTTAAGCACACAACCTATTCACACCCATGACATAGCACAGAACGTGGCTCCATGGAGAATAATATGCTGAACGCCGAATGCACAGATGAATATGAATAGAGTGTATGCTTTAGAAAATTACTGAGGCTGTGGTGGAGACAGTGGATCAGAGGAGCTGAGAGGAATTCGGAGAAGAGAGATCTCTAGGTGCCTATTGCAAGAGTCCAGGTGAAGGACAAGGAGATCTGAACTGGAACGTGGCCGGGGCTATTGCTAAGAGCCCCTTGAACTTCCTGGGAGGTGAATGGGTCCCCCCTTGCCCTTCCTGTGCTCCGAGTCCCCCAGAGCCCAAGGGTTGCTGTTTAGAGAAGTTTCTATGCTCTGGGGTGATGGCCTCCCTTTTCCTAGAGGAGAAAGGCCTGTGTTGCTATAACAACTTGGCTGCAGTTCTTTTAGGCAGATCCATTTTCTTAAATCATTTAAGGAAAATTAGCTGCCATAACAACACAGAGCGGTTTTTAAAATAGAGCAACACAGGACTGGGTTTATTTTTTTTCCCTTGCTCACCTCCTGTAGTCCTCAAGATAAGCCACTCTCTTTCTATTTAATAAATAACTAAACTGTAACACTCTGATATGACAGAGTGGATGGCGACATGGTCAAACACACGGAGCCAGCACTCACTCCTGCTACACAAACACACATGCACAACATAGAAATTTGCAGAAAATGCATGCATTTACATTCATAAGACAGAAAATGCATCCATATAAAGACATAAACATAGCAAATGAGTATATAGTTATATATAATCACACAAACCACACACACACACACACACACACACACACACACACACGGCCAGGCACAGGTCCACTACTGCATTACCACAGAAGGAGGCAGCCCATGAGGTCTGTTTGCAGTGTGAGCAGAGGTTTCACTGGGTCACCAGACAGGAAGGCCCTGCAATAGCAGCTCCTCACTGGGAGCCAAGGGGCACCTGCGTGTTCATACCCAACAACCCGAGGACAGGGACGGGGAAGGAAGAGGAGAATCCTGCTGGTGGAAGGATAGGGATAATGGGTAAAGGGTAGGGGCACCCCCATTCTCACCCCACATACACACTTGAAAGTCAACAAGGAGGGTGGTGGCCTCAGCCATGGCATTTGGATGGGAAATTCTTTGCTCAGCATGGCAGGATGTTAACCACCCCTAGATTAGTACCCACCTGATGAAAACCACACCCCTGGGCCATTGGCAGACTGTCTCACTGAGGCTTTGTTTGATCCCCATGTCTTTGACTTTATTA